TCTCTTTGGGTCGAGGGTGAGGTTCTTCCTCAAGTGGAGGAGTTCAAGTATCTCAGGGTTTTTGTTCATGAATGAGGGAAGAATGGAGCGTGAGCTTGACAGACGGATTGGTGGAGCATCTGCAGTATTGTGGACTCTGTGCTGGTTCGTTGTGGTGAAGAGGGAGCTGAGCTGTAAGGCAAAGCCCTCTGTTTACTGGTTGGTCTACATTCCTACCCTCACCTATGGTCATGAACTCTGGGTAGTGACTGAAAGAATGAGAACATGGATACAGGCAGTTGAAAAGAGTTTCCTTTGCAGGGTAGCTGGACTCGCCCTTAGATATAGGGTGAGAAGTCCAGTTATATCAGCGTAGAACCACTGCTCCTCCACGTCGAGAGGAGCCAGTTGAGGTGGTTCAGGCATCTGGTAGGATGCTTCCTGGGCACCTCCCTAGCGAGGTGCTTCGGGCATGTCTGACTGGGAGGAGACCCTGGGGAAGACCCAGGACACTCTAGAAAGACTACATCTCATGGTTGGCCTGGAATCATCTTGGGGTCTTGCTAGAAGAGCTGGAAGAGGTGGCTGTGGAAAGAGATGTCTGGGCCTCCCTGCTCAAGCTACTGCCCCCGTGACCCAACTTCAGAACAAATGGAAGATAATGATGGATGGATTTTGTTGAACTCTGACCTAGCCTTACCTCTGACTGAGCCTGGATGAGAATTTGAATGTTTAAAATTCTAAGTTAAATCAGTTCTAACCTGATTTGTATCAATCTTTCTTCCAGTGTTGCAGAGAAGGGAGCTGAGGGCTGCAAAGACCTGATGGAGGCTTTTACTGCATGTGTGAAGAGTGCTGCTGACGGGACGTCATGAGGAGTCGACCTCCAGACGAAAATGTAAGATGTTTGACGCTCGAGTATTACCAGGCAGGTTTGAGCCTGACATCAAAAATGTCTTTGTCTAAAGTAGAAATGAAAAGTGATCACATTGAAAACAGTCGTTTGAGTAATTGTAGCTTTTCAGGTTAAAATCAACTTATGCTCAAAAGAGATCAAAATGTTTTTTTTCTGTTGCCAAACCTTGTAAATATTGTTTTCTACAACTACTCTGGGGTGGCTGTGGCTGAGTGGTTAGAGCAGTTGTCCTTCAGTGGGTGAGTTGGAGGTTCAATTCCACCAGCAGTCACATGCTGAAGTGTCCCTGGGCAAGACACTGAAACCCTCATTGCCTCCGATGTGTGTCCTATCAGTGTATGAATGTGATAAATCTCTGGTTAGTCTTTGTGCAGATAGATAGAGTGCTGTATGAATGGGTAAATGAGGACACAGATTGTAGTGTAAAGTGCTTTGAGTATCTTGAAATAAGATAGAAAGGTACTGTATAAGTACAGTCCAGTTACCATTTATAACTGCCTCACTGGATTGGTTGGGGCCTGGTTTGGCACCAATTGCCTCCAGTGGTGTGCCAGAGCAAGTTGGACCTGGAGACAAATGATTTGCTGTGGTGACACAGGATAAGCATGCTTCTAAAAGACAAAGAAGAATCATCAAAATGCAAGCTACAAGCTAAAAGAAGTAATACACTTGCTAACATATTAAAAGGAAAACACTAACTAAAATTAACAACGTGGTAGCTAAAAAGCAGCAAAAGACTTGCTTAAAGCTAAATGTAACAAAAGGCTTACTAAATGCAGACAAGATTAGGTTAAATGGCAAAAGAATCAAAAGAGGAACGTGGCACAGAGTCTAGAGAAGGTGGGCTTGTGTTCAGAAGGTCACTGGTTCAGCTCCCCGGACCGACAACATCAAAATGTGGGTGAAAAAGATGAAGCACCCACACCTGCCTCCACCCTCGCCTGCCCCACCCTAGGCCCTTGAGTAAGGCCCCAAACTCCCTCCATGGGCTCCCCTGAGTACACCAGATAGCAGCTTTCTGCTGCACACAGAGGGTTGAGGTAGCTCAGTGGTCTATGGTTGCGTCAGGAAGGACATCTGGCAATAAAACAATTGCCAAGAGTTTTTGGGAGATAATTCGCTGTGGCAACCCCTGAAGAAGCGAGCAGCCGAAAGAAAAAAAAATTGAAAGGTTTGCTAAAATGTGCACAACTCTGACTAGAACTTGATTAAAGATAGTAAAGTCAAGGTTCTTTAGTTGTCTATCTCGATACATGTGGTAAATGGTAAATGGACTGTACTTATATAACGCCTTTCTATCTGATCAAGATTCTCAAAGCGCTTTACAAAAATCTGTGCCTCATTTACCCGTTCATACAGCACTCTACTACATCTCTACAAAGCTAATTGAACAAATCATTCTAAAGAGATTAATCAGAGCTTTATCACATTCATGCACCGATGGGACACACATCAGAGGCTATGAGAGGTTCAGTGTCTTGCCCAGGGACACTTTGGCATGTGACTGCTGGTGGATCCGAACCCCCAACTCTTGCATTGGAGGACGACTGCTCTAACCACTTGGCCATAGCCGCCGTTGGTACATGTGATGAAACTAAATTGTGTACACTATCCATGATGCTGATCTCATGCTGCTGATTATTTCATGTTGCTGTGTTCATTAGTCCTCATCTGCTCACACAGACTCATGTTCGTGCTGCTGTTGTTTTGGCGCATTGTTTTTGTACTATTAGTGCTTAGTGTATTTTTAGTCTTGTGTATTCTTAGTTCATGACTCGGTTCTTACTACTGTTTTTCTTTACAATTTGTGTTTTTGTTGGATGTAACTGGGACCCTGCGTACATAATTTCGTCCCACCCCTTGTACCACGTGGTGTGTATGACAAATAAATCTCTCTGAGTCTCTGAATCTGAATACTGAAACCACTAAAAGTTCACTCCAGGTTTTCCTGGTTACCTACAACAACTAACCACACCAGTATCCTGATGCATGCTCAATAATCCAGGTAGAAAAATCTAAAAAAGTTAAGTCTGGTCCTCTGGACATTCAAAAAAACAAAACAAAGTAAAAAAATAAAATAAATACATAAAATATAGAAACGTTTCATCTCTCATCCGAGAGACTTCCTCAATCTGAGGTGCTGTATTCAGCTCAGTCTCTTAAATAGCACCTTCTCAGGGTGGATCAACCAGTTTTGCTGCTGACAACCAAAACCAGCTGATCACA